CTGCAATGCCTCAGTAATTATCGCATTCCCTGTAGTCCCTTTTCCCTGTCCAAAGCTCCTCAGCTGCTCCGGGGAAATGGTAATGGACTGCCATCTTGTTGCCAGGGCGGCATGCAAATCCCTGCATAACAGGTTCATCACAGCCTTTAACAGGTCAACAGGGGTGCCGTAAATACTCTCCAGCTTCGAGATCATCTCCCGAACTTGAATTAGGGCAGGATGTTCCTTTCCGGCACTGGAAGCGTGACATCGGTCGCGTTCGAGGTAACTGTTGGCGGGTCAGTCTGATGCAACCGTCCAAGTAGCGCAGGCAGCCAGCAGCGTTCACGTACCCAGCATGACGTGAGATGATTCCGGCTCTCTGCTGAGCTGACCAAGCCCTCTGTGAAGAGGGCTTAGAGTTTAGCTTCTTGATACAGTGTTCTTTGTCTCTTTCAACAGAATCGGAGTCCTACGTACATTGCAAGCCCCGACCATCGGTCAGTTGAGCCGCGCGACACACATCTGCACACACACACGCGTGTATTTATGTATGCACATATATATACATACATATATATATATGTATATATATATATATATATATATATATATATATATATATATATATATATATATATATGTATATATATACACACACACACACACATCTGTGTGTGTGTGTGTGTGCACATATCTGCACGTGTGTTTCTGTAGGTAACATGTCCTTAAATCCCACGTGAACGCTCACACGCGGCCCCGCTCACCCGCGCACGTGGACGAGCCCTTTCCCGCACGCACTCAGGAGAGCGACTTCTCAATTAGGTTCCGAATGACGTCAAAGACGCCAATTTCCATATCGATTCCCCGGCGAACAACGGGAAGGCGATACGGAAGGAACTGTCTCCCGGAAGAGGCTGCGGGAATTTTTCGGCCGAGATCACCCGCGTCCGCGAGATGTTGCCGCTCGCATGGGGGGGGGGTCGTTACGGACGGGAATGAATGCCTTTTATTACACATACATGATGATATATATACATACATATATATATATATATATATATATATATATATATATATATATATATATATATATATATATATATACTTATATACATATATATACTGCACACACACACACACACACACACATACACACACACACACATATACATATATATATATATATATATATATATATATATATATATATATATATATATATATATATATATATATATATGTATATATATATATATATATATATATATATATATATATATATATATATATATATATATATATATATATACATATTTATACATATGCTTGTGTATACATTCAAATCATACACACACACACACATATGTGTTTAACATATGTGTGTGCGTGTGTTTGAACATGTACATGTACACATAAGCATGACCACTACACACAGCATATTTATGTATTATCTCTCCACAATTATCCGTTTATCCCAAACTGCGCACACGTGGTTCAGCTTCGTCATGCAACCTGCTTTGCAAGGAAGTTAAAATCGAGAGGAACTTTTCTCCTCAACCGAATTGCATCACAAATAATTCCTCTTGCACTTCGCGAAAATGGAAGTGAGGAAAAATCAATAATGAGATCAAAATTATTAGCTTATTATTTTCTTCTTTTTTTTTCGCTTACGAACGTGGAACAGAAAGATGGAACTCACGAAGGAAAAAGGCGAATGATAAGAATAGTAAAATGAAAAAAAAGAGAATGAACACTAGATAAAAGTGTGAACAGAAAAGGTCAACGAAATGAAATTTTCACGAAGGACATGTCAAGGAAACGAGATAAAGAGCGGAGGAAAGGAGAATGATAAGAAGAAAGAGGGAAGAAGAAGGACTTAGAAGAAAGGGGAAGAGAAGAGGAATCAAGAGATATAAAGAAGGGGGAGAGAATACGGAAGAGGATTTAGGAGAAGGAAAGGAGGAGAAAGAAAGGGAATAGAATCAGGAGAAGGAAAGGGAGGAAAGGAAAAGATAAGAAAAAGAACAACGAAAGAAGAAGAGCAAATATAGGAAAACGAAAAAAAAACGTAAATCAAGAAGAAAGAAAATGGAGAGAAAAAGGGAGGGAAAAAGGGAAGGAAAAGAGAGGAAGAGGAAGGAGAGGGAGAGAAAAATAACGGCAAAGATTGAAAGGAGGGAAGAGAAGGAGGGAGGCAATGACAGAGTGAAGAAGATAAACGAACGAAGAAAGGGAAGAAACACAAAGGAAATAGAGAACATAGAAATAAGGGAAAGACAAAAATAAAATAATTGAAGGAGGAAAGTGGAGACAAACAGAAGGAATCATAAATAAGATATTTTCAAAGAAGGGGAAAAAAGTTGAAATTACTCAATTTATCATATTTCTACGAAACTTATTCATAATATAACTCTGATTTAGTTAACGCAAAGGGCTATTGTAATTAGAATAGATTACAGGCCCCAGCATAGAACTACATCACCTTACAAGTCCTGTGAAATATTTTTTTCCCCTACAGGTTCACGACCTCCCCGAGTTCCTGCGCGGCGGCGTGAGGGACCAGACCACGCACGTCATCGTCAGGTTCCGTTCGTCCAGGAGGTCGTCCCTCGCCAAAGCCAAGGTCCGACGCTCCACCGTGGAGGAACCCAGGTGAGGGGGATTCGCGTGTCTGTCTGTCTATCGGTCTCTCTCTCGGTTTCTGTTTCTGTCTCTCTTTCTCTCTCTGTTTCTGTCTCTCTTTCTCCTTCTCTCTCTCTATGTCTCTCTCTCCCTCTCTCTCTCTCTCTCTCTCTCTCTCTCTCTCTCTCTCTCTCTCTCTCTCTCTCTCTCTCTCTCTCTCTCTCTCTCTCTCTCTCTCTCTCTTCCCTCTCTATCTCTCTCTCTCTCATTCTCTCTATATATGTGTGTCTATATCTATGTCTATGTCCGCGTTACTCCTTCTCTTCACCTCTCGCCGCCCTTCCGCCAGCACTTCCTCGATCGACGAAGAGGGTGACGAGGAGGAGAGCGATGAGCCAGACGCCCACGCCACCCACGTCCTGGCCCGGGCCGCCCACGACACCGCCAGCGTCTGCAGCGACCCCGTGCCCTCGCTCAGCCTGCCTTCCGTGGACGGAGGTCACTCCAACAACCGATCTTATCCCAGGTAAATTCAGGCTCTTCTGCGCCTGCGTCAGAAGGGTAGGGGTAGTATATTTATTCAGATAAATTGTTTTTTGACTGAATTTGAGAGTATGGGAGGCACCTGACCATACGTTGCGTGAGTGGGTGCGCGAGAGAAACCCTGACAGCGATGACAACGTAAGTGTTGCTATGATAAAAAAAACACCGCCCGTAAGCACTGCAGGGAAGTACTAATGCGTGTGTTATATTCACTACCTCACTGTCGTTCAAGTGGATTTAGGCAAGGATAACTAACATGCCAAGACTTTATTCCTATGGATATTTATTGACCAGTCTTCACGAATGAATGTGCGCTTCGAGGTTTGTTGACGAAGACTACACAGACCCATGATTCAGCTTGGCACTTGAGAGAATGATGATTCTTTTAGAGAATGATTCAATTTAGAGCAACCTGCTTTTGTTTCATCCAAATGAACAGAATTCCATGTTTGGTGTGGTATTTTGAGGCCAATTATTGCATTCATTTTATTTCCAAGAGGAATGCAATTCTTTGTGAATATATAGATGAAGAAATCTCGATTCTTGTTTGTACACTGCAATACTGCATTCTATTTCTATTTTGTTTTGTTTTATTTTTTTATTTGATGATCCCACTTCTCCCGTTTCTCCCTGCTTCTCAATCATCTCTTTCTCTTCTTCCTCTTCATCGTCTTTTCCCTCCACCTCTTTCTTCTCCTCCCTCCTCATAATGCCACAAAGAAAGTGTGATTATAGGATGAGGAAAGTAATGAATACCAGAGAAGGAGGGACCTTTGTGTGTTTCTCAAACATTTTATAAATAAATGAAGTTCGATTTTTTTTCTCTCTCTCTCTCTCCTCTTCCTTCTCCTTTTGTGAAAAAGAGAGAGCGAGAGAGATAATAAAATGGCAAGGTCATACTCCTGGTGCATTAAATGATCAATATGTTTATATAATCCTCTTGGCCGACCTTAAAATTCCATGTAAATTTGTGCATGGTTATCTTGACCGACGTAGCCTACATGTAAATCTAAATTTATCCTAAAATAGCATAAACCAAAGGCAGGATTTACCCCATTCTGTCAAAACTAATCTGATCTAAGTCAAGGATTCCCAACCTGGGATCCATGAAGCAATATGAAAATTATGACATCGAATCAAGCTGATTTTTATCTCGCCTATAGTACCCACATATGATTATCTCTCCCATATCTTCCCAATAAGTGTTCTTGTACTATAGATACTGACACCACTACACTATTCATAACTAGTAACAATTGAATCTGAAAAGACGAAGACACCGACCGGGGACGTGGAGATTAGTACATACAGGTCAGGGGCACAGCTTGAAACAGGTTGGGGACCACTGGTCTAAAGAGAACGAGAGCGCAGGTGGCATAGTGATAGACCAAAGGCTACAAGGGGGCATTGATGATGAATAGTTAAGTGACGATGATGGGTGGCGATGGGGATTTGATGATGATAATGATAACGATGGTCTTTGGCACTGTTATAATGATGATAATAATAATAATAATAATAATAATGATAATAATAATGATGATGATAATAATAATAATAATAATAATAATAATAATAATAATAATAATAATAATAATAATAATAATAATAATGATAATAATAATAATAATAATAATAATAAAGTAGACTGATTTAAATACAGTTATCATTTTCTCTACTCAGCTGCAGTTTAGAGACTGTATAATCCTCGGAGTAAGCTATATATAAAGACAGTTATAACTGGGCACTGTTTTGACTTCCTACACAAAAGCAAACCCAAGGAAAAAAATGAAATAAAAATGGTGGATTTTTATTTACCTACCATGGGTTGCACATGGTTCAATCTGAGAAGT